AAGTGATTCAAAGGAGACCTGAATGATAGTTGTATCATCCATTTGGGACTCTGACATTTTGAAAGTAGTTAGGCCAAATGATACTCACACAAGAGGTGTAGGAAGGTTCCACTTGGCGTGCACACACACACCCACACGCACACACACGCACATTTGTGCTCACAGACGCATACACACATGCATACTCTGTGGGTCCCTCTTCCACTCTCTTAATGGTAGCTTTTGATACACAGAAATTCTTAATCCGAAATCATTCCATTTTTCCCCCCATTTTGGTTTGCATTCTGTATTCTGGTGTCTAGAAATATTTGCCTACTTCAAAATGATCGTATTTTCTTAGATTTCCTCTCTAACTTATTTATATTTTACCCCTTTTACATACATGGGTCTGCAATCCAGGTGGAATTAATTCTTTGTATATGAAACGGGGAAGGAGTCAAGTGATGTTTTTGCAGATGGTTTTCCAACTGACCCAATGCTCTTGGATGAAGAATACTTTCCTCACCACTATGTAATATCACTTGTCGGAAATCAGTCATTGTACATGTGTGGGTCTGTTTTCCTACATCTCTCATCTGTTACGTTTGTGGGTCTTGTCGGTTCTCGCACGAATACCACACTGTCCTGTTTACTATAGCTTTTTTTATTAAGAGTTCTTTACCACGCTGGACTCTTTGTATTTTTCATGTATGTTTAGAAACAGCTTGTCCAATTCTCCAGGAGAATATGCCTGCTAAGAATGTCTGCTTTTTGTTTCCAAGTATTGTAACCAAATCACGGAACAAAGCAAAGAATACAGTGGAAGTAACAGAAACACTGAGCACCTGAAAATGTAAAATACATAATGTTTGGCATCTAATCAAAGATTATAGGCATGCGAAGAGACAGGGAAAACGACCCATCATGGGGAGAAAAATCAGTGGACAGAAACAAATCCTAATTTGACAAACTGGCAGACAAAAGTATGAAAATAGTTGCTATAACTCTATCCTACATGTTCAAAGTTAACTAGAAATCCAAATCAAACTTCTGGAGATAAAAATATATTTCTGTGATGAAAAACACAATGGGTAGAATTAATAGCAAATTAGACATTAAGGAAGAGAAGATGAATGATCTCAAAGGTGTAATAGTAAATGATTTCATAATGACACAGAGGGAGAAAGGGGCAATGGTGAGCTATGGGGGAACTTCAAGTAACCCAATGCTTAATGACCCAAAGGCAAGTTTTTAAAAATGTAAATGTCTTTAAAGGACAGTTTGCTGTTTATGCCAAAATAATTCCACCATAATGTGGGGTTTATAATATGTTAAAGTAAAATGTATGACAGCAGTCATAAAGACAGGGAGAGGATAATGGATGAGTGTCATATCATTGGAAGGTTTTCATAATCTATGTAAGCTGGTATAACATCATTGAAGGTAGAATGCAGTAAGGCAGAGCTATATGGCACAAACTGTGGAGTCACAATTAAAATAATAAAACACAGAGTTCTAGCTAATAAACCAACAAAAAGGATAAAAGGGAATTATTATTAAAATACCCAATTAATCTACAAGAAGATGTTTAACAAAGAATAAAAAGACGAAGAAGAGACAGGACTAATAAAAAACCAATAGCAGCATGGTAGACATGAATGTAACCAGATCAATAACCACATCAAAGATAGTCTAAATGCCCTAATTAAAAAACAGAGATTGTGATATTAAATAAAAAAACTATGTGCTACCTTCCAGAAATGCACTATAAAGACTCAGAATGTAAAAGGTAAAAGGATGGAAAAGGTATACCATGCTAACTACTCACCCAAAAAAAGCTGGAGAGCAGTATTAATATCAGACAAAGTAAACTTCAGGGCAGAGAATATCTTCAGGGATAAAGAAAGTCATAACCAAATGACAAAGGGGTCATCTCTTAAGAAGACATAATAATCATAAGTATTTATGCTTCTAAAAATAGAGCTTCAGGGTACCTGGGTGGCTCAGTTGGTTAAGCGACTGCCTTTGGCTCAGGTCATGATCCTGGAGTCCTGGGATCGAGTCCCACATCAGGCTCCCTGCTTAGCAGGGATTCTGCTTCTCCCTCTGACCTCTCTCCTCTCATGCTCTCGCTCTCCCAAATAAATAAATAAAATCTAAAAAAATAAAAAATAAAAAAAAAACCCAGAGCCTCAAAATACTGAAGTAAAATGGGTTGTACTGCAAGGAAGACTAGACAAATCCACAATTAAAACCATTGTTTTAATACTTCCCGGTAATGGACTGAACAAGTTAACACACACGCACAAGTCAGTAAGGCTGCAAAAGGCATGAACAACACTATCGATCAACGTGACCTGATTGATGTTAGTAGAATATTTCACACAACAGCAGCAGGATATGTGTTCCTTCCAGCTGCACTTGATTGTGTACCCAGATGGACTACAGACTCTGGGCTTGAAATTAGAATTAAGACATTTAAAAGCATCTAAGTCATACATAGTATATTCTTGACCATGGGACGAAGAATAAATCCAAAGGGAAATTACAAAGTGGTTTTAACAGAATAAAAATGAAAATACATCAAAATTGATAGGATACCACTAAAGTCACAGGGAGGGAGAAAACTGAAGGCTCGGAAATCATCCCCCACTCATTCTGAGGCCTGCACGGCTACCACCAACATCAGACAAGAGTACTGCACGAGCACTACAGAACAATATCCCCCTGAACACAGATTAATAATCCTTTTAAATTTTAATATATGGAATGTAACATCTAAAAATGATAACATAGCATGACCAAGAGGAGTTTATCTCAGTAATGTGCAGTCGCTATAACATTTAAAAAACTATCCATGTAATTTACTATATCAAATACAAAAAAAAAGAGGAAAATTATACAATCATCTCTATAGATTCTCAAAAAAACAGTTGAAAAATCCAACACCCGTTGCCGAGAAACACTCTTAGCAAATAAGAAGTAATTGGAAGTAACTTTCTTCCCCTAATAAAGGGCATGTATAAAAAGACCTAGAGTTAATAGACCATTTTGCAGCCAGACTATGACAAATTAAAGATGCATGTCATAATCTCTAGATCAAACACTAAAAGTAGCACAAAGAGAGGAAAATAGTGTTTTCAACAAGTGGTGCTGGAAGAAATGTATATCCACATGGAAAAAGAATGAATTTCAATCCTTGAATCTCACTCCGTCAATCAGGAGTGGGCAAACTAAGGCCCACAGCTCAAACATGACCTCTGCCTGCTTTTATATGGCTAACCATGGTCTTTACATTTTTAATGGTTGAAATAAAATAAAAAGAATGACATTTTGTGACATATGATAATTATATGAAACTCAGATTTCCGTATCCGAATGGAAAGTTCTGTAGGCGCACAGCCAGGCTCTTTCCTGTCCATACTGCCTCTGGCTGCGCTTCCATTACAATGGCAGACTGAGTGGTGGACTCAGAGACTGCCTTGTGCTCAATACGGAAAGTTTGCAGACCCTCGTCATAAAAAAATTATGACTTGGATCAACATTCTCGATGATCTGTACAGCTTCTTCTGAAAGAAAACAGCAAATTCTCCTCCTCACCCTTGAAGTCGGCAAAGATTTCTTTTTTTTTTTTAAAGATTTTATTTATGTATTTGACAGACAGAGATCACAAGTAGGCAGAGAGGCAGGCAGAGAGAGAGGAGGAAGCAGCTTCCTGCCGAGCAGAGAGCCCGACGCAGGGCTCGATCCCAGGACCCTGGGACCATGACCCGAGCTGAAGGCAGAGGCTTTAACCCACTGAGCCACCCAGGCGACCCTCGGCAAAGATTTCTTGAGGACAAGGAATGTTCTCATCTTGAAAAAGTGTATTTTTCTTTATCAAAAATTAAAAACTCTGTTCATCAAAAGATATTAAGATGGATAGATGGCTATCTGAAAGAGGGCAGGTATCCACCATGTAAAGAATTGCTGCAAATCAACAATAAAAAAGAAAATTCAATTAAAAAAAAGAGCAAAAGATGTGAACAAGTTATTATTATGTATGTATTATATATACATATATATGAAGAGGGTTTTAATATATATCATATATACATACACATATGGCACATGTAGTTCCCTCTTCGTGAGATTGATGGGCTTATTCCCTAGCCGCTTACATTTTGGGGGCGCTAAAACTCCACAGTCAGCCTCTTCCAGGAATTACCTCTGCTTAAAGAGAACGCTTTGCCCAGAGTCCTATCACTTCCCCAGGGCAGCTGGCAGCTGGTGACTGGCTGGTATCCCCTTTCCTAGAACACTGACTGTTGAGATATAGAATATGTATTCTTTTCTTGGAAAAATGTTTGCTTCACGCTTCCTTCATGAACACGTGCAAAGGGTGAGCTAGACATAGGTGGGCGTCCAATCACCGAGAGCCGGGCCCTGCAGGATCCTGGCGCCCAAACCTGTACCTGGCCTGCTTGGGCCACTTGAAGGCGCTGTGGCTCCACTGAGCAGACCACTGACGGCTGCGTCTGGGAGAGGGAGGGTTAAGGACAAAGAGGCTTGTCTTGGTCCAGGCATCAAGGAGATTGCTGATCAGAGTCAGTGCTGACACCTGAAGGCCGATCACAGTCTTCTCACATTAACTGATGCTCAGGTGTGTTAGCCACAACAGGGAGCTACGAATTCCACCTTTCTTGGTGTGAAGGCCTCTCTTGGAGCCTACATTGGTGCAGTCTGATGAGGCTTCCGTGGGGCAGCCTGAATAACCCAAGTCAGGTGCAGAGAAAGGAGCACAGAGGAAAACAGAGAAGCTGTGGGGGATGGCCACCCAGCACAGCACAGCCCGCCCCAGCCGCCCGGGAGGCAGCTGGACAGAATGGAGGGGGGCCTGCTGCCCCTGAGCCTGCCCGGAGGGTGAGGGGGTGCAGGGTGGCTGCAGGAGCCGACCAGGACAGTGACATCAGAACGGTGACGTCACAGGCAAGCCCTCCGAACAGAGCTAAGGGAAGAAGACCAGAGCCCTGAGTCAGAAGATGCGCCGCCCTGTCCTGCCTGGGTCTGCCAGGGGCACCCAGCTGCTCTGCTGGGTGTCCCTCTGTCTCCTGGGGGCAGGTGAGTCCTAGCTCAGGTGGGACATCACTTGAACTGCTGCTGGAATCTCAAATTCCTTCCCAGACCGGGTCATCAGCAGCTATCTCCTCCCTCTACAGGTCCGGCGGGTGCCGAAGTCATCCAGACACCCAGACACCTAATCCGAGGCAGTGGGGGGAAGGCCGTGCTGAAATGCGAACCTGTCTCTGGGCACAGCAGTGTGCGATGGTACCAGCAGACCCTGGGGCAGGGCCCCAAGTTCCTCATTGAGTATTATGAACAGATGCTGAGAGACAAAGGAGACATGCCAGAACGGTTCTCAGCTCAACAGCTCAGTAACTACAGCTCCCAGCTAGACCTGAGCTTGCTGGAGCCAGGAGACTCAGCCATGTATCTCTGTGCCAGCAGTTAGACACAGCCCTGCAGCATGACTGGCTTTCTGTACTCAAACTTTCCTGTCCCAGCTGAAGGTGTAAGAGGGAGAGGGAAGGGGGCCTCAGCCAAGTTCCAGGGATGGTTCTAGGTTTTTTTCTAACACTCTGCCTTGCCGAGCCCAGCCAGAGCACTCCTGAACATTGGGGGCCCAGATTCACTGAATATTCTCGAAATTCCTGGCAATGGCAGGAGCTCCTGCACTGTGCTAGGGTGTAGGTGTGCAGGATGTGTTTTAATGCAAGATAGACATGAGTATGTCCATTTCACAGATGAGGAAGCTCTCAGTATGCCATATTATAGATACAAAATGGTATCTCATGGACTTTCAAAAATTTTCCTATTTAAAGTCTCAGAGGCAGGAGTCAAATCTAGGTCACTAGGTCTCTGAAATCAACATTTCCCTAAAATTTTACTATGTTTCACCAATTAGATATAGCAGACCACTGTGTCTTCCATCTTGGGACCGGCAGAGCTGTGGTGGGCAGGTCGCACATCATGGGGTGGGGTTACCATAGCTATTGCCTGCCCACTTCTAGAACCAGCTTCAAGCCAGAGAATATGTGTCTGTCCCATCAGGTTCCATTAGGGTGGGGCCAGGGTATCCTCCAATACAGGAGCTAAGGGACCAGGGGGTTTCCCGTCTCTCAGAGGATTCAGCCAAGGAAACAGGAGCCCTCTGGGAATCTCAAGGAAATGGGAGTTAATACAGGAATTAGTGCTTCTAAACCACTAGACATTCTGGAGGAGGGAAGGTCTGAGGAGGCTGCAGCTCTCTCTTACTTCTAGCACTTTCCATCAGAAAAGCTGAAATTGCTGGGGTGCCTGGGTGGCTCAGTGGGTTAAGCCTCTGCCTTCGGCTCAGATCATGATCTCAGGGTCCTGGGATCGAGCCCCGCATCGGGCTCTCTGCTCGGCAGGGAGTCTGCTTCCCCTTCTCTCTCTGCCTGCCTCTCTGCCTAC